AGTACTTGCTTGTTCGCAAAGGATTTTATTTTTCCTTCACTTCTGAAGCTCGGTTTGGCTGCATATGAAATTCTTGGTTGAAAGTTCTTTTCTTTAAGGATGTTGAATATTGGCCCCCACTCTCTTCTGGCTTGTAGAGTTTCTGCCAAGAGATCTGCTGTGAGTCTGATGGGCTTCCCTTTGTGGGTGACCCAACCTTTCTCTCTGGCTGCCCTTAGTATTTTCTCCTTCATTTCAACCCTGTTGAATCTGACGATTATGTGACTTGGGGCTGCTCTTCTTGTGGAGTATCTTCGTGGTGTTCTCTGTATTTCCTGGATTTGAGTGTTGGCCTGCCTGGCTAGGTTGGGGAAATTTTCCTGGATAATATCCTGAAGAGTATTTTCCAGCTTCAATTCGTTCTCTTCGTCACCTTCTGGTATACCTGTCAAAAGTAGGTTAGGTCTCTTCACAGTCCCACATTTCTTGGAGACTTTGTTCATTCCTTTTTGCATTTTTTTAATCTAATCTTGGTTTCTCGTTTTATTTCATTGAGTTGATCTTCGACTTCTGATATCTTTCTTCTGCTTGGTCAGTTTGGCTGTTGAAGCTTGTGCATGCTTCGCAAAGTTCTCGTGTTGTGTTTTTCAGCTCCTTCAATTCATTCATATTTCTCTCTAAGTTATCCATTCTTGTTATCATTTCCTTGAATCTTTTTTCAAGGTTCTTAGTTTCTTTGCATTGATTTAGAACATGTTCTTTTAGCTCATAGAAGTTTCTCATTACCCACCTTCTGAAGTCTGATTCCGTCATTTCGTCACAGTCATTCTCCGTCCACCTTTGTTCCCTTGCTAGTGAGGAGTTTTGGTCCTTTGTAGGATGTGAGGTGTTCTGGTTTTGGGTGTTTTCCTCCTTTTTGCACTGGTTTCTTCCAATCTTTGTGGATTTATCCACCTGTCATCTGAGTAGTTGCTGACTTTTCGATTGGGTCTCTGAGTGGATGCCCAGATTGTTGATGATGAAGTATTTCTGTTACTTGGTTTTCCTTCTACCAGTCTAGCCCCTCCACTGTACGACTGCTGAGGTCCACTCCAGGCCCTGCTTGTTTGGGGTACACCTGTAGCAGCTGCGGAACAGTGAGGGATGCTACCAGTTTCTTCTTCTGCTATCTTTGTCCCAGAATGATGCCTGCCAAATGTCAGTCTGATCAGTCCATTTTGAGGTGACTTTTTGGCTATACAGGGGTCAGGGAGCTGCTTGAGGAGACGGTCTGTACTTTATAGGAGCTCAAGTGCTGAGCTGTGAGCTCCGTTGTTCATTCAGGGCTGTTAGGCTGCTATGTTTAAGTCTGCTCCAGCAGAACTCATAAAACCCCTTTTTTTCCTCAGATGCTCTGTCTCGGGGAGTTAGGGCTTTCTTTGTGAATGTCCGTTGCACTATCCTGCCCAGCTAGGTGGCAGTCTAGTCACTATTTGCCTGCCGAGGCCCCGCCGTGCTGGCATGGGGTCCACACTGTTGCCACAGGCTCTGCCCTGCAGCCACGGGCTCCACCTTGTGGCGGAGTCTCTCTGTTATGGTGGGTTGCCGTGGCAATGGCAGGCTGCATTAGCAATGGGAGTGTACCTCAGTAGGGGCGGATTGCCTCGGTAATGGCGGACACCCCTCCCCCACCAAGCTGCACCCTCCTGGGTTCAGCTGTGCCTGCAGTGAAACTCTCCACCTGGAGAATTTCGAATTGCCATTTTTAGTCCCTGTGGGGGTGAAATCCACCGAGCCTGCTCACCTGGCTCCCTGCCTCAGAGCGCCTTTTTTTTGTTTGTTTGTTTGTTTTTAAGTTGAACGGTTGGCTCTCTCCCAGGTGTTTCAGTCGCCTGCTGTTAGGGCACCGGGATCTGTGTGATTTCTTGTGCAGTGACCCACTGCGCTGGCTCAAACGCCACTTCCCAGGAATCTCCTGGTCTGGCTCACTGTCCAAGTCCTGTTTAATCAGATGGATATGCTAATCTGCCCATCCAAATCTCAGATTGCCAGTTTAACAGGGCACCCAGACCAGTGTGTTTTGTGCGGAGTGTTGTGGAGTGCCTCTGCTCTGCGGCGCCAGCCGAAGCGGCCGCACCAGCCAAAACAGCTGCCCTGGCATCCTGTGTCTCTTCTAGACCTGGGAATTTCCCCGTTCTGTGGGCAACGAAGATCCGTCTGGAAATGCGGCTTTGACTCACCCTCTGCGCGTTCACTGAGAGCTGCAATCCTGAGTTGTTCTTACCACGCCATCTTGAATCCCCACTCTTTTGCAAATCTTAAAGAGGGAAATATCCACATACCATGTACTAGTGTCTGTGGAAACAGTAAATATCTAGAAAAAATTGTTTTCAGTTTTATTTATGGGCCAAGCAAGATTTTTCCTGAACCTAACATAAAGCAGAGCGGTAGGCTGATTAGCTATGAGAGGCCATGTTGGGTAGAGGAGAGCCCTCCCTCTAGACTGGTTGCCTCACTCACCTCTTGGAACTTCGTTTACTCGAAAAGAGGGAAGTGGTAGCTAGGCATGGTTGCACATGCCTGTAGTCCCAGCTACTCAAGAGGCTGAGGTGGGAGGATCACTTTAGTCTGAGAGTCAGAGGTTGCAGTGAGCCAAGATCATGCCATTGAGCAAGACCCTGTCAGAAAAAAAAAAAAAAAAAGAAAGGAAAGAAAAGAGTAAAATCGCTCATGCCCAACACTTTGGGAAGCTGAGGCAGGAGGATCGATTTAGCAGAAGTTTGGACCAGCCTGGGCAACATAGCAAGATCCTGTCTCTACAAAAACAATTTTAAAAATTAGCTAGGCATGGTGGCGCACACTTGTAGTCCCAACTACTTGGGAGACTGAGGTTGGAGGTTCCCTTGAGCCCAGGAGTTCAAGGCTGTGGTAAGCTATTGAGCTATAATTGCCATTGCACACTAGCCTGAGCCACAGAACAAACAAACCAGAATGAAAAAGTGAAGACAATGGACTGGATTTCTTTCAGGATCTCTGCCGGTTCTAGCATTCTATGAAGCCTCAGCTCACTGCCACATACGTTCCCCATTTTGAGTTGTATGGCTGTGCTTAAACAAAAATATTTGTTTTCAGATTTGATTTCATGAAGTGCTTGGATGCTTGAATTAGTTGTAAATGTGCATAAAATAAACTTTGTGAGGATATTTAATAATGTGGAAAGTTACTAATAGGTCATGCTGAATGGGTCATCAATCTTATGATTAGATGTAATTTCAACATCTTTCTGCCATTTAGCTATTTAAGAATGATTTATTAAATGCAGAGAGCAACTTTTTGTAAATTCATCTTTTTGTGTCCTTTCATCTAGATTTTCACAGTAGAGTTGGGTTAAGCTCTTAAAACCACACGTACATGTCTATACAACAAGTAAGAAGTTTCTAGGACTCATTAGAAAAGAACTGGCCTTAGGCTGGAATCTCTTAAAAATACTTTGTAACAACGATTACACTTGGTGTAAAAAGACATTATAGATAAAAGGGGCTTGAAGGTGGAAGAAGCTCCAGGGAAGGACACAAAGACTCCAGAAGCATCTAAGACATTGCAGTATGTAAGGATAATGAGATGCTCAGATTCAAAGTCCTGGCTTTGGTGTTGGCTGGTTGTGTTAGGTTATTCAGGAGCTTGTTCTGTTTCCTTCCTGTTTGCCCATCTGTCTCTTCTGTCTCATCTCTATGCCCTAACTACTCAGTGCTAACAGGGAGCTGTTGGATAAGGAGGCTGAGTGAAGCAGCTGTATATACGGCAGTAGGGAGAGATGGAGTTTGTGAACGAGAGAGCACATGGTTTGTCTCAAGTGGGCAACCATTCTACCTGTCATTGGCAGAATATGCTAATTGAACTACAGACCTTACTTGAATTTTATGAGCTCTTACTTGCACTCAGGTGTGTTTGTATATAGCACACACGTTATACCAATTGTGGCTCCTTGGAAAGGTGAACCCACTGTTACAGCTCTTGAAAAATCTGTTTTTTCAAGAGGAGATGTTTTTCCTGATTATTTATGTGAACATTTTTATTTATTAGAAACTCTCGTAGAGTGATTAAGCACCTTTTCCTGGAGCCACACTACCTACTTTAAACTCCCAGCTCTACCACTTATTAGCCATGTGACCAAGTGTTTTTGTTTTTTGACGTTTTTGTGCTCAATTTTCTTAACGGTAAATGGGAATAATACTCGTGCCTAATTCATAGGGTTGTTATGAGATTTAAATATGCTGATATGTGTAAAGCACTTAGAACAGTGCCTGTTATATTGAAAATTCTCAATTTATGTTAGCTATTATGATTCTTATTAAAACACAGGAGGACCAAATGACAGGTTTGTTGGCCCGATGTAGCCCATGGACAGCCATTTTGTGACCTTTGATCTCCTGAGTTTAGGGTGAACCCACAGAGGTTATATGAAGAGCCAAGGCCATTCAGTTAGTTAGAGACTGAGTTGTCACTGGGATCCAGGCTCTTCCCACCCCACTGCACTCTGTCCCTTTTAGGGAAGAGAAAGGGTCCTTGGGAAAGGCAACAACTTGAGTGTCCTTCACAAAGTGATTGGAGAGATGAAATGTGGTGGCAGCAATTGAAATAATGAATTAGATTTATGTAGAGTGACATGGAAGGGTCTTTAAAATATAGTGCTGGATAAACAAGAAACAGGATATTACCATTTACATAAATTATGAGTGCATGCACCCAAAACGATGCTTCAGAATTTCAAAGATGTGTACAAACAAAGGATATATTCCAAATCCACGAGAGCAGTTTTACTTTTGCAAGGGAGACCAGTGAGAGTGGGATGTAGGGATAAAATAGACAAGAAAGCAGGAGAGGGGCCTTGTACAGAGCAGCGATACTGTGCTATGAACTAGGAATATGATTAACTCCTTCTTCCCCTATCCCTCACCCCAAAAGCTGGAGACCAGCCTTTGTACAACCTCCTTCTCCCACCCAAGTCCTGTGGTCAATATGAACACATTGTTGTCTTCTAGGTACAAAGAGAATCTACCTTGCAGGAGTTTCACAAAGCATAAGAATGGGCTGAAGTTCCCCACCTCCCTGAACAGCCGGCAGTGGGTATTTCTAAGAAAGGGGCTGGATGACTTCAAGAAGGGCTGTCCCCCTTGCACTGGTCTGGCCACTCAGTTCCCTGAGGAGGGCTTTCTGCCCCGGATTTACCACAGAGCTCCCCAACTGGACCCAAAGAAGAGGCAGATCAAGCTGCCCAAGGAAGCAGACCTGCTTTCCAAGCTCTTACCAGCCCAGCAGGCTCGGAAGGCATTCCTGGAGGATGTGGAGGCCCGCCTGACCCCACATCCCTTGGCGCTCCACCCAAATCTGGAAGAAGCTATGCCTGTAGAGGTGATCTGTCCTGGGGTTTGTGGGAGGGGCTTCACTGGGGCCTTGCAAATAATTCTATCTAAATGTCTAGGGAGTCCCCATGAGAGGATGACATATTTATTAAGAGGAGCAATGAAAGTCTCCCCCAGACTGTGAGTTCTTGTGGGCCTCAGAGCAGACTTCTGTCCTCTGCTCCCAGAAAACACAACCAGCAGCAACATGCACACTGCTCTCTTTGCTTCCTATGAAGCCCTTCAACTTACAAAGGTGCTGCAAACCAGAAACATGACTTCTGTTCCCCATAATTTCTACCCGTCTGCTGTACTTTGTGTTGTGACTTTTCGGGGGGAGGAAACAATGAGAGGGAATTGTCTAGTCTTATCTTTGTCCTTTAGCTTGCTGTTAGGAGGTGCCCTTAAATGCTTATTAACAGGTGGAAAGAATGAGACCAGAAAGGACATGGGGAAAATCCACCTAATGGTCCAGGCCAGGGCTGGACAGCAGCAGCTCTGTGATGTCACCGATGTCCCAGGCCTCTCCCGAGTTTTAGCTCCATATCCTTAGTATGCATCTCTTATCCTTGTATCTCAAAGTGGCTTCCATGCTTCCAGGCATTGAATCTGTATTTCAGAGAAGAAGAGGGAAGGGACAGAGGCTAAAGGGTGCAGGCCAGCTGACTGTCTTTTAATTAGGCAAATAATAGCTTTCCTCTGGTGTGTGCTGCGTCCCGAGCTGCACAAGGATTCAAATACCTAAGAGGGAATGGTGGGGGATAAGGAAAGACACAGATACAGTCAGAGAGAAAGCTGGGCCAGGTGGTCCGAGAGGTGAGGATGTTGGTCTCTTCAGCCCCGATCTGCCTCAGTGTACTTTATTTTATATGTTTACAAAGCACATAGCAGAGGGAGGGTGCAGTTACTTAGAACAGCCTGTGGATATTATTCTCGTACTTCAGTTAACGTATTTCAACTAGAAACTATCTTACAGCAAGCTCAGAGAAAGCTGGTTATCTCTCTCTAAGCCCATTTGTTCTTCTCCGAGGCATATACATTCTCCTACTGCAGTTTCACTTCCCAGAAGTTTGACCAAAGTTCACAGCAGCCTTGCTGCTGATCCCCCCAGAGGGGCTACTCTGGCTCCCTATACTTTCCCAGTAAATGTCTCTTTCATCTGACTATTCCTAGTTGTTAGGGAGTCTAGCAAAGTGAGTTTCAGAGTTGGGCATTGAACCTGAGCAAAACCCAGGTTCTATTAGGTTTAAGGAAGAAAAGCAGAGTGGATTTTGGGCAGGGAGCTAGCAGTGACTGCAACCCCATCCCCATCCCTGCAGCCTGTGTTTACACAGAGAGAAAGACAGTGATTCAGAAAGGCAAATCTCTACTCAGAGCCCTCCAGTGCCCCTTCTCACTCAGAGAAAGCCAGAGTTGTTGCCGGGGTCCGAACGGCCCTGACGGTCTGCTCTCCACGGTACCCCTGTTCTGCTCCCTCTCCAACTGCACCCCTTCTCTTCTGCCCTCACTCCTGCCATTCCAACCACTCTGGCCTCCTGGCTGCTCCATGGACATTATCAGCATGTCCAATTCAGCTCTCTGTTCTGGTGCCTGGAACACTTGCTCCAGATGGCTGCTTGGCTGACTCCTTCACTTCCTTCAGATCAATGCTCAAATGTCTTCTGATTGGAGAGGCCTGTATATAATAGCACTTCCCTTCCACCCTCACATGCCACTCCTTACTGTGCCCTATTTTGCACTTCACCACCACTGTGCTCCTCTTGCAATAAAAGCTTACAAGAGCAGGGACTTTGTGTTTTTCACTGTGTACCACCAATCCCTGTCCTATCGCAGACACGCAATAAATAATTTTGAATAAAAGAGTAAATAAATGATCAGTGGCAGAGAAGTCTACAGAAAGGACAGCTAGAATCGCTGATCAGTTAATTACTCTCTGGGTCTTTCCTTCACTGCCTCCTGCAGGCCAGAGCTTCTGAGTTCATGACAGAGAGATTGTTTTCACACACCTCAGATGGCACATGGGCATGGCTTGGGATTGTGGCACTTATTTTTATGTGTGACCTCCCCAAATAGGTGTGTTGGCTTCCTGCTGAGGCAGGTTCTCTCATGGTCTAAGGTGGCCAACAGAAGATCCAGGTTTAAGCCCTACCCACTTAGCAACCCCAGCAGAAAGAGAACACATTTTTTTTTGCGTGATCCCAGAAAAATTCCATAGCCTAATTTTCATTGGTCCAACTTTGATTATGTGCCTATTCCAAAGTCAGTCACTGTGGTTCTGATTATCTGGTCTGCCTGAGTAGTGAGAATGGGGTCAGGCTAATTTAGACCATGCATATTGAGAGTGGAGAGAAACGTGGTTCTCCAAGGAAAAATCCAGATATTAATGAGAGGGAAAATAGATAGTGGGCAGTCAAAAACCACAGAAATCCTTTAGAGGCGCTTCACTCAGGGTGGCGTCTGGGGACTAGGCCCCCTCTAGAATGGACATATTTCATTCTAGAGGAAGTAGAATTTTAATAAAAGGCTGTATACTCAGTGTCCGGGTGATGGGAGGTTTATCCAAGTGCTGCTCATTATAATCCCAAAAGACGGTCCCAAACACCATAATCGTGAATGTTGAGATCTCCAAAGTCTAAAATACCACAAGTCACAATCTTGAAAAATGAAATTCCTGAATACTGAAATCCTGAAAGCCAAATTCTGGGGAAGGGATTAGTGTGGTTTTGGTTATATGCAGGATAGTTGCATCATGGTGGTTGGATCTATTACTTTGCTATTGTCTTTATTTGGAAATTAAATACGGTTTAAGGAGATGAGTATGAGCGCCAACCTGACAAGGGGTGGACTTGTGGTCTTGATTTTAGGTGTCAGTTTGACTGCATTAAAGAATTCCTAGAAATGTGGTAAAGTGTTGTTTTGGATGTGTCTGTGAGGAGGTCTCCAGAGGAGATTAGTGTGTGAGTCTGAGTGAAGAAGGTCAGGAAGATCTGCCGTCAGTGTTTCAGTACTTCAGAGATCACAGAATAACTGAAAATGCAGATGAAAACTATGAGGTCTCCTCTGCCAAATTATTCAATTGTGTACAATTTCTGCCCCTTCACATATAACACAATGCTTGCCTTCAAGCATGTGACACCCTTTGTGAGAGAATTACAAGAATTTGACAAGCTCAGCGACCTTGTCATTTGCTGATATTGAGATTCCTCCAGTATTATAACCACATAAAATGGTGAACTATTCTTGTTTAAAGATTTGACTGTTAAGAAAGACAGACTTCTTGTATTTACCACTAAATCTAACATAGAAAAACTAGTGCATGTTTCACTTTGGCTATATTGGATGGCACTTTCAAGACTGTCCCCTCTTCTTAAAATCATTGATATACAATTCATGCCCCTGTTGGATCTGGAAATTCTAAACCTGATCTGCTTCTTTATATATTAATGACTACAAACAAGTAAGGTACTTTATAATCACGTGTTTGAGGATTTGGTGGACTGTGCAGAAGAAAAGGAATTTCTTTGAATCCCCAAACCAAAATGACAGGTTTGGAATTAAGTGTAATTAAAGCTTCTAAAAGTGAACTTGAGTTACCAATAAAGTTTTTTTTCATGTAGTCCAACACATTTGGCAGAAATTTAGATGAATGGATTGGCCATGTGATATGGCAATGAGAGAAACTTCAGTTTAAAAATGAATTATTTCATGATCTTACACCCAGAAAACTAAAGATTCATCCAAAAGACTCCTAGATGATTTCAGTAAAGATTCAGGATACAAAATTAGTGTTTAAAAATCAATTGCATCTCTATACATTATCAGTGCTGAAGCTGTTAACCAAATCAAGAACTCAATACTGTTTACAGTTGCCACAAAAAACTAAAATACCTAGGAATACATTTGACGAAGGAAGTGAAAGACCTCCACAAAGGGAACTATAAAACACTGATGAAAGAAATCATAAATGATGTTAACAAATAAAAAATATTCCTTGTTCATGTACAGGAAGAATCAATATTGTTAAAATGATCATACTATCCAAAGCAATCTACAGATTCAGTGCTATTCCTATCAAATTACCAACATCATTTTTCAAATAATTAGAAAAAACAATTCTAAAATTTATACAGAATCTAAAAAGCACCTGATTAGCCAAAGTAATCCTAAGCAAAAAGAACAAAGTTGGGGGTCATTATGTTATCCAACTTCGAACTATACTACAAGACTACAGTAACCAAAACAGCATAGTATGGGTACAAAAATACACCCATAAATTAATTGAGCAGAATAGAGAACCCAGAAATAAAGCCACACACCGACAGCCAGCTGATCTTTGACAAAACTGACAAAAATAAACAAAGGAAAAAGGACACCCTATTCAGTAAATGGTGCTGGGAAAACTGGCTAGCCATATGCAGAAGAGTGAAACTATGTCCCAACCTCTCACCATATAAAAGAATTAACTCAAGATGGACTAAAGACTTAAATGTAAGACCTGAAACTATACACATTTTGGAAGAAAACCTACAAAAAACTTCTGGACATTGGCTGAGGCAAATAATTTATGACTAAATGTAACAAAAACAAAAACAGACAAATGAAACTTAATTAAGCTAAAGAACTCTATACTGCAAAAGAAACTGTCAACAGAGTAAACAGACAGCCTACAGAATGGGAGAAAATATTTGCAAACTATACAGGTGACAAAGGACTAATGTCCAGAATCTATAAGGATCTTAAACAATTTAACAAGAAAAAAAAACAACTCCATTAAAAAGTAGGCAAAGCCAGGAAGTCTCCCTGGGAGGTTGAGGCTTCAGTGAGCCGTGATTGCACCACTGCTCTTCAGCCTTCAGCCGGGGTGACAGAGTATGAGACCTTGCCTCAAAAAAAAAAAAAGAAAAGAAAAGAAAAAAGAGTGTACAAAGGACATGAACAGCCACTTCTCAAAAGAAGACACACAAGCAGCCAACAAACATATGAAAAAATGCTCAACATCACTAATCATCAGGGAAAAGCAGATTAAAACCACAATGAGATACCATCTGACATCAGTCAGAATGGCTATTATTGAAATAAAAAATAATCACAGGTATTGGCAAGGATGCAGAGAAAAGAGAATGCTTATACACTGTTGGTGGGAATGTAAGTTAGCTCAAACACTATGGAAAACAAGATGGAGACTTCTCAAAGAACTAAAACTAGAACTACCATTCAACCTAGCAGTTCCATATCTACCCAAAGGAAAATAAATTGTTTTATCAAAAAGACACCTTCACTCATGTTTATCACAATACTATCACAATCGCAAAGTCATGAAATCAACCTAAGTGTCCATCAATGATGGAATGGATACAGAAAATTTGTTACGTATATACCACAAAATACTGTGCAGCCATAAAAAGAATGAAATCATATCTATTGTAGCAAGATGGATGGATAACCATTATCCTAAGTGAAATAACTCAGAATCAGGAAATAAAATACCATGTGTTCTCACTTATAAGTGGGAACTTAACAATGGGTATACATGGTCATACAGATGGAGATAATAGACACTGGGGCTTCCAAAAGGGGGTGTTGGGAGGGTGTTGAGGATTGAAAAACTACATATAGGGTACTGTGTTCACTATTTGGGTCATGGGTTCACTAGAAATCCAAACCCCAGTATTATACAACATACCCATGTAATATACCTACACATGTACCCCCAAATATATAATAAAAATTTAAAAGATAAAAAGATATTTTTTAAAGGAAGAAAATAAACATGAAAAAGTGTCATTTGTTTGCACTGCCATTCCTTACAGCTGCTGACATTCCTGGAGCTGTTAATAAATTAAAGCTGTATTTGCCCGAGGAGATCAGTGATGTGACTAATTGGTTAAAAAATAACTGTCGGATAAGTAAGATAAGAAGACGGTGTTGCTGTTGGATCAGCAGTATTGTTTCTGCCAACTTTGGGGTTTGTATATGAGTATATATGAGTGTGTGTTGAATCACAGAAGAATTTTAAAAAGAGCAGTGCCATGTAGAAAATGAATATGAATGTATTCTCCAAGGAGAGCCCTAAAAGAAAAAAAAGGAACTATTTATTGTGTTGCAAGACTTCAAAAGATATTCAGTGATTGTAAATGCCTGCCAGTTCTTATGGACTACCTCTGTGTAATTTTCTGTAATCTATCTCTCATTCTGTCACCCAAGCTGGAGTGCAGTGGTGCAATTATAGTTCAGTTACCTCAAACTCCTGGGTTCAAGGGATCCTCTCTTCAGCCTCTCAAGTATCTAGAAGTACGGGAGTGCACCACTGTGCCCAGCTCTTTTTTTCTTTTTTAATCTTTTATAGAGATAGGAGTCTTGTTATTTTGCCCAGGCTGGTCTCAAACTCCTGGCCTCATGCCATCTCCCTGCGTCAGCTTCCCAAACCACTGAGATTACTGCACCTGGCCCCATAATGCTTTTTGATTGACTTTGTCAAAAGGCTTAGGTTGTCCATCACTGTATTTGAGATGACTAAAATTATGAAGCAGAGTGCACACAATTGCCAACCATAGTGATAGGCACTTATACATTTCACTTTCGAGCTATTTCTTGATGAATATGGTTTGCCTGCTCATATTATACCCATGTGGCTTTTGCTAGTATACCTGTGTGTTTATGCTTATAAAAATATGTATATTATTGTTGCCTAGTTCATTGTGAATAGTGGCCTATGAAGTGTTCTCTTGTTTTTATGTTTCTCAAATAAATCTCCATTTAAAAATTTAAGTGCCTTTAAAATAATTTTTCTGTACTTTTTTTTCCAGAATTATAATTTCTGGATTTTAATCTTTGGGATTGTGATTTTGAGGATTTTCGACTTTAGGGATTATAATCGTTCAGGATTTTAACATTTGGGATTTTGTCTTTTGGGACTGTGGTCCAAATCTATCCATAGCACTCAGCATGATGCTTGGCACAGAAGTTGGTGAACAGCACTGATGGATTGAAAAGGAAAATGAAGGGCAAGTTGGTCTGTTTTGTTGTAGAATGGGGACTCCCTTCTTCAGCATGTTTTTCTTTTCCTCTAAGACTATTTTCTGTTTGCAGCTCTTATTAAGCGTGCTGGAAGTGCTCGATCTTGACCAGAAGCTGAAGGACACTTGGGCTTATTGTCAGGGTGCCAGGAAGGGAATGAAGGAATCCACAAAACTTTTAAAACAATGTTCTACCCAAGTCTACCTGGGACCGTGAGTATTGTTCTTAAGCCCTCGATCATTGCTGTCACCTGATGAAACATTCTAAGAATTACCTTCTTAAAGCTTCTCATCTTTAGAATAATTCTAAGGGAGCAAATGTAACTAAGTTCCCAAAGAAGAGGAAAAGGAGTCCTAGGTACTGCTCTGAATAGTGCCTATTTCTTCAATGGATGTGATTTATCCAGCAACAACACAGACACAGGTGTCTGTAAGGAAATTCCAGAGGGAGAGTCCCTCCCTATGCTCCCTATGTTATGATTTTCTAACAGTGAAGGTTAGAAAATTCTTGGTTTTGAGGCAGCTTCTAAGGCTTTCCAATTTCCTTTAATTCAAAAGTGCTTCACCTGCCAAAGCACCATACTTTTTGGGGTATCAATCCTTTGTGCCCCAAGAAATGTTAAGGCTGGAGGGCAGTGAAGAGATTACAACTCACTGCAGCCTTGAGTTCCTGGACTCAAATGATCCTTCTGCCTCAGTCTCCTGAGTAGCTGGGACTTCAGGTGTGTACCACCAAGCCTGACCTAAGCCTTTTTTCTGAGTATAGGTCCACTGCTTGGAGTTTCCACCCATCTTTTTTGCATAGCTCATACCTGTAATAATACTTTCACTGACGCTTTTCAAAGCATTGCGCTTACTGAAAGCATCTCCCTTTTAGAACACTTTTTTGATTCCCTAGTCAGTATAATATTTAGTTAAATGACATAAATGCAGTGATAAGTATTCTGGACACAAATAGATTTGGGATACATATGTTTTCTTGTTTGTTTGTTTTTGAGACAGTCTCTCTCTGTCACCCAGGCTGGAACAGCAGTGGTACAATCTTGGCTCACTGCAACCTCTGCAACCTCTGCCTCCTGGGTTCCAGTGATTCTTGTGCTTCAGCCTCCCAAGTAACTGGGACTATAGGCACCCACCACCATGCCTGGCTAATCTTTGTATTTTTGGTAGAGACAGAGTTTTGCCATGTTGGCCAGGCTAGTCTTGAATTCCTGGCCTCAAATGATCTGTCTACCTCTGCCTCCCAAAGTGTGAAGATTATAGGCATGAGCCAACATGCCCGGCCTACATTTGACTTTTAAAATTAAAGACCTCACTGATGGGTGCCGAAGAGTGTGCTGAACTAGAGAGCAGCCTGTCCACAGCACCCAGACACTTCAAGGGGTGTGGACTATGGTCAGTGTGTTTGGTGGGGGCCTTGTAGAGCTTGATTGTTCACACACATTACCTACGTGGAGGTGGATTTAGAGAGAATCCACTGCATTACATTATGTATGTTTGTTAGGGTAACACACAAGGTGAGAGGAACTCTACTCTTATGATATTTCATCCATCTCCTGGTAAATGTAGGAAGGGTAACAGCATGCTTCTCTCAGTTCTGCCTTTCTTTCATGAAGAGCAAGATGGCCCATGGGAAGCACAATTGCTTTTTGCTTCCCCCTTCTAGAGGAGAGGACTGCCCTGGTCCAGCCCTGCAGGGGACTGGGTGGAAGGGTCTGCCAATTTCTGGGTCCTCTTGGATCTAAGCCATGTTGTTTATCAGGGCTGCTGTTAGCAGAGAAGGGGATATTTTGGCTTTTGTCTTAGCTCTCTGTATTGTTTTTCAAGTTGCTTAGAACTTGGGTTGGGGAGTGAGAGGAGTGTTATTTGTAGGAATCTATGATGTAATAAATATATTTGGTCTTTGTCCCCTGTTGCTGACACAGGGCTCCTAAAAACCTTGGAATTTCCTGAGTGACAGGTATGCTTTTTGTTATTCATAACGAGCCCCTTTTAGTCACTGCAGAATTTATGCTAACGAGGTGTTCAGGTTGGAGCCCCCAGATTGTCTTAGAATGTGACTGGTTACCAGAAAGACCAAGGGATTAAAGGGTTAGAATGCTCAGTCCCACTCAGTGACTGCTCAGAGGCGACGGTGGGAGGCATGGCTGGAGATTAAAAATTCTTGAGCAGATAATTTGATGAACCTCCAGGCTAATGATCGCATCCAAGTGCTGGCAGGATGCAAGCGATACCAACTCCCCCTCACCATATAATCTCTCCTTTCCTTCAGAGCAAAATTTTTTGAAAGAGTCATTTATACTCAGTCTTCTTTTCCTCTCTGAATAGCAATCAGGACTCTTATCTCTAGCACTCCACTGAACCTGACCTTGTCAAGGTCACCGTTGACCTCTTATGTTACTAAATCAGCTGCAGGGATCACCCTACTTGATGTATACATAGTAGCAATTGACATAATTGATCATGTCCTCTTTCTCATAACGCGTTCTTTCCTTGGCTTCTGGAACGTCCTCTTTGACGGACCTCTCCGTAGTCATCTTTTACTGGTCCCTCTTTACCTTTCAGTGTTGAAGTACTTTGGTCTTGGACGTCTTTTCAGCACATTTACCCACAAGCAAGTAACCTCCTCTGGTTCATCTGTATGTGGATAATTCAATTTTTGTCCTTGGATGTTTAACTGGCATCTTGGACCACACAAACCCAAAACTGAACTCTTGGTTTCTCCCGCAAACTTATTCCTCCTTCTGTCTTCCCCAGTTCAGTAAATAGCAACCCCATCTTTCCAGGTTTTTCTGGAACAATAGTTGCAATCTGCCAGCAAACGGTAGTGGCTTTACTTCTGAAATGTATCCAGAATCTCACCTTTTCCACGCCAGTCTTTTCCAAGATTCCATCACCTCTTGCCTGGATTATTGCAATAGCTTACTAACTGGTCTCATGGCCTCCACCCAAGATCCCCTCTCTCAAGTCTGTTTGTCACACAGTAGCTGATATGATCCTTTTAAAAACTTAAGTATAATGTTATTCCTGTGCTTGAGATTCTCCAGTTGCTTATTTTTCTGAATAAAATAGTAAAATCCAAAGTCTTTCCAACTGCCTTTAAAGTACTATATGATCAGGTCCCTGTCACCGCTCAAGCCCCAGCCTCTGCTATTCTACTCTTTACTCCTCTCCGTGGGACTTCGTTGTTCTTTGAACATGCTCAGCACACTCCCAGCTCAGGGTCTTTGCACGTGCCATTCTTTTCTGTCTGTTGTCTGCATCACGTGAAATGTGCATGATTTGATTCCTTTCTTCTTTTAGGTCTTTGATAAAATATTACTTTAATGGAGACACCTTATCTGTACAAATAAAGTGCTCCCTACCATCACTCTCCATCCCTCCTGTCCTATTTTATTTTCTCTATATCACTTATAATCACCTGGCATATGTTTGTCTACTAACTCTCTCTCCTATTCAATTGTATACTCTATGAGGACAGGGGCTTAACTTTATTTACAGTTCAATTCTAGTGACTGGCACATAGTCAGTGCTTACTGAATATTTGTTGAATGAATGGATGGATAAGTTAATATATGACTGCTATGAATAAAAGGTACAGGGGCTATGAATAAAAAATAGGTCCAGGGGACAGCCAGTGGGGATGGCTCACTGAGGAAGACACATGTATGTTGAGACATAAAGGGGATGAGGAAATGGTGACAGCATTGCAGTCAGGTGGAACAGCTCAAGCAAAGGCCCAATGGCTGGGAGTAGCATGAATTCACAGAACTGAGAGAAGACCACATTGCCTGGAGCTCAGAGAGTGAGAAAGGGTGGTAAGTTCCAAAGAACCTGGAGAGCCAGGCCATGCAGAGCCTTGGAGGTTGTGTCAAGATTTAAATCTTTATTGAAGAATGAGCAAGAGGCTGTTGAACACAAAAGCTTGTGTCCATAGCAGCATTGTCCCTAACAAGCATGAAGTGGCGACAACCCAAATGTCCATCAGCTGGCTATGTTCGTGAGAATGGATAAACAAAAAACGGTCTATCTAGACAATAGAATATTGGCCATAAAAAGGAATAAATGACTAATACATGCTACAACATGGATGAGCCTTGAAAACATCATGCTAAGTGTGAAAAGCCAGACACAAAAGACTACATATTGCACGATTTCATTCAGATGAAATACCCAGAATAGACAAATCTACAGAGACAGATAAGTAAGTTAGTTGTTGCCAGGAGTGAGGGAAGTGGGGAAATGATGAGTGATTATCAATCGGGGAAATAAAAATGTTCTGGAATAAGGTAGTAGTGATGATTTCACAACTTTGTGAATAAATAAAGGGTACTCTTTCATACACTTTTGAAGTGGTAAATTTTATGAACTTCATGGTGGATGAATTATATCTCAATTTTTATAAAGAAGCTATTGATGGTGATGAAGGGTGAATGCATTTGATATGTCCAGAGCTGCATTTTGAAATGACTGCTTGGGCTGCAGTATAGGGAATGGATTGGGGGTTGGAGGTTGGGGGGCAGTATAGGGGTTGATGATGCAGAGACACTAGCAAAGAGCATTTTGAGCAGTCCAGAGAAGGAGACAGAGTTAAAAATCTGCCAGACTGTAACTGGGCTGGATTTTGGGAATAAGAGAGAGAAAGCAAGGATGACTCCTACTTGTCAAGGTTGCCTGTGGTTTTGGCAGACTTCAAGCACAGTAATTTGGACTTTTACCCAGTACATGTTTTAGAAAATGGTACTCAAAATTTTAAAAATCAATGTATAATGGTAAAATGCTATATATAAGTTTTAATTATTATAACCAATCATGATATACTAGTCATTACGATATTGGTAATGAGAATGTGATCTTTGAAAAATTAAAATATACTTTGCATGTGAGCTTGCAAGAGACTGTTAGAAACACTTGCTTTATGATCTCCTTTTGCCTCCGAAACCGTGTGAAATCCATTTGAATTCATTGTGTCTCATATTGTAATTATTTAATGATCTTGCTATCTTTAGTTCCAAGAAGACTTCTGTGTCAAATTCAGACCAATGGCTTTATGAAGAAAATCCACATAAAGTGGATTTGCCCCATGAAAATAGTCTTCGTCTTCATGAAAATGTACGCAAAGCAGTTAGTGACTTCTGCTGCTGGGTGACTACTTTTGTAAGTTAATAGTAATACTTAAACCTGCTTTTAAATTACAAGCTCAAAGTTGCTTTTATTAAAAAACAGGATTGGATAAAATCTAAATCGAATCATCAAAGTCATAAAGGAACCATTGTCTTCTATCATTTATAAATAGAAATATTTCTGGTAGATGAAATTGCTGGAAAGTTTGCAAGCTTGTGGCTAATTTGACCTTTTATGTTTACATCTCACATCATTGCAATTGTTTCATATTTTCCTTTTCCATTTTAATGTCAGGACTTTCTTTTCTCTGTCTTTTACTCCTTCAGCTCATTATTCTAGTTATATTTGTCTAGGAGTACTTGGGCAGGGATCCTTGACTATAATCTTCACACGAAAATGTTCTAACACGCCAGGTGCGGGGGCTCAAGCCTGTAATCCCAGCCCTTTGGGAGGCTGAGGCGGGTGGATCGCTTGAGTTCAGGAGTCCAAGACCAGCCTGGACAATACAGCAAAACTTTGTATTTTTGTATAAAACATAAAAATTAGCTAGGTGTGGTGGCATGCTCCTCCCACACAGGAGGCTGAGGTGAGACGATTGCTTGTACCTGGGAAATCGAGGCTGTAATGAGCTGTCATCATGCCACTGCACTCCAGCATGGGCAATAAAGCAAGACCCTGTCTCAAAAAAAAAACCTGACATGAAGAGACTTTTGACTCGCATATCAAAGTCTTCCCTTGTGGTCCATCCAAGAACCTATATAGTTCCTTATTCCTGTTCCTGAGTCTCTAAACCCGATGCTTTTCTTGGATTTAAGGTCTCTAGGATTTGCATTCCACACCCCCTCCCCATCTTTTGAGTGTTAGTTTTAGTCAGTGTATCTTTTAGTACTTTTATTTTTTTTTATTTTTGTTTTTACCCAGGCTGGAGTGCGATGGCACGATCTCGGCTCACCGCAACCTCCGCCTCCTGGGTTCAGGCAATTCTCCTGCCTCAGCCTCCTGAGTAGCTGGGATTACAGGCACGTGCCACCATGCCCAGCTAATCTTTTTTGTATTTTTAGTAGAGAGGGGGTTTCATCATGTTGACCAGGATGGTTTCGATCTCTTGACCTCGTGATCCACCTGCCTTGGCCTCCCAAAGTGCTAGGATTACAGGCGTGAGCTTTTTAGTATTCTTTTTAGTATTTTTAAACATCAAGCTACTTGCTTCATTAGCAAGTGACTGAAATATAATTCAGATTGATTTGGAAGAGAAAAGGGAAGCATCCAGATATAGTAGGAACTTCAGGCACAGCTGGATCCAGGTGCTGAAATATTTTTAGGTGTTCCTATCTCTTTGCTGTGCAACTTGGATTTCATTCTCAATCAGTATTTCCCCAAGAAATGGCAAAAGTAGCCACTAAAATTTCCAGGCTCATATCCTACTAGCAAGCAACATAATTGTGAAGACAGCAATGCTTTTCCATCCAAGGATTACTCTCACTGGACTAACTTGGGGCACACGCTTGTGCTTGAATTAACCATTATGATTAAGATGATGGAATATGCTTATTGGCTAGGCCGGAATATACACCTAACCCTGAAGCCAAGAGTGGGGGTGTCCAGCCCACTGCGACAGAGTGAGAGTGAGGAACAGAGACTCCTCAGAGGGTGATTGGAGCAGGGATGCTGGATGAGGCAGATGGCGCCCACTATGCCTGGTATCCAAACTGCTGCTTGTCCATCATCTGTTCAGATTGGATTGCCTGATTTCCACTGTCCGCTTCTCCCATTTCTGCTGCTGGAGGTGATTCTTCTTTCAAGGCAGGAAACTTAAGGGACCTTGGAGTAAGAGTGTAGCTTCTCTGGTAACTGCCTTTGATTTTAGACCCTGTGACAAAGCTCCCTGACTCTTCACTGTCATTCCACAAGCTAGGTCCCTGCCTCCTCACTCTGGTCTTTTCTTCACAGCACTAGCTTGCACTTTTCCTTCCATGCTGTTTGTTTATTTTTCACCTCATTGATTCTGCTTGCTTTATTTCTGCTCCATTATTACTTTAGCCTCACTTTGACTGTACTTGTCCCTTTATGTCTCTGACTCTGTTTCATGACTCCTCCCTAAATTTTACTCCAAACACGCCAGCTGCTGGTGATTTCACTCCTCTGTGTTTCCCAGTTACTATTTTCCAGTGTGAGATTCTACTGAGTCTAAGCTCTTTTAGCCTTGAGCCATATCACTGGTAAACGCTCAGCATACAGATGAGCTGCTCTTAATGTGACCTTCTCTACTCTCACCGGCTGTGGCTGAGGGAAGGAAATGGTGAAAGGTTTTCTGTGTACAGAGTGCGGCTGACTAAAACCACTCCTTGAGTAGGAGCTGTGAACCCGTCAGCTTCCCTTATACAGAGTTATCCACAGAGAAAACACTGCTGTATCTACACAAGTCTGGAAAATCCTTCTAGGGTTGCTACCGCTGTAAAGTGCTGGAGAAGTTTGCTGTCGACCAAACTGAATTTCCCTCAGGCTCATGATTTCCCTCACTTAGGACTCCTGCAAAGTCCTAAGCTGTCTCTTAATGACCCCTCCAGACCCCAGACACTTCTTGTCTTCAATGAATGCTGATTAAGCATTTCCCACCTCTCTCAAACTACCTCTTTCCTCAGTAATGGCCAACTACCTCCCTTAGATTAAAGAAGAAAGCAAGCAGCATTTCACCAATGGCCCCCAATTCATGCAGTGTGAAACTCTTCCAGGGAAGTTCTGCCATTGATGAAGAGTTCATCTTGAAACAGTTTGACGTTGACTATCAGACCAAACCAAGCCATGATGCGCTCCACATGGTGAGGCTAAATCAGGTTCCTGTGGAGCTAAAGCATAGTATGGGGCTCAGTAAACCACAGGAGCCAGAGTTCTTCCAGAAACCAGGGTACGAGAGGAAACTCCAGAAACCACAGGTAATTGCAGAAGGGAATCAGACTGAAAATAAAAGAAAACTGTATTAAAGTCTTAAAGTTCTTGAATTCTGTTATGTCAAGGGTACTGGCTTCGTAAAGTGTAATTCTTGATTTTTTTCATGATTAATGTTTGTTAAACAAATGCATGTTTAATATCTATAACAAAGTCAGTTATACAAACAAGGCATGCCATTTGGGATTATTCTTAATATCTGGCTAGTCATTTTCAGAGATAATTTGTTAGGTGTTTTATATGTTGAAATTCTAAAGGTCAGTAGAAATATACATGAATGCAAGAGTAAAATCCTGCAATTAATTATTGTGAGCACTGTTCATATTATATCTAGAGCACACTTGAAGTTTTGCTGTAGTCTTACTGACCGCAAACCATCATTCTTGACCACATGCTTGCCTAATGATTAACAAGTCTCCTCAGCACCAAGTTGCTGTAAAGATGGAAGAACAAGGTGATAGAAAGGACAAATAACATGCCATGTTCCAAAGGGAAGGACTACAGGCCCCTAAAGTACTTTTTTAACTTTTCTACACAGCGTGTCACTGCAAACATACCCATACAAGTCAAGTTGTGTGAGTCAGCAACAGATTTAAGTGCCTAACTTGGAGGGGAGAGCTCTTCCCTGAAAGTGAAAAACAGTATTTTATTTCTAATTATCTTCTGCCTCTTACACATAATCTTTGATATTACCCTTCCAATATTTGGGACATATTAATTTTGTCCTTCATAGTTCAACACATTTGCCAACCTATTTTCACATGCATGTTTCTTTCCTTGACTCCATGGCATAAGGTTTATGAAAATTACACATTTCATCATGAATATCAGCACTTTTATTTTCCCATTTTCCTTTCATCTTTCTAAAAGATAAAATGCAAAATGATATTAGACAGGCAAATTATGTTCATCACACCCGAGGCCTGAACCACTGCTTGTCCTGAATCTGGGCTGAATCAAATTGCTCAATTCCCAGTATTTAGAAATAGTTATGTAAACACTGCTTTACAAACCATGGCAGTTATTGCCAAAATTGAGCTTTTGACTGGGAAATGGAGGGTCACTATACAAAAGTTGAAAATATATTTCCACATAGTGTCTTTTTTCTTCTGACTAGAAGACCTCTTTTAACATTTCTTCCAGTGTGGATCTGCTGGTGATAGATTCTTTCAGCTTTTGTGTGTCTGAAGACACCTTGTTATGCCTCATTTAAAAAGATTCAGTAGTTGCCTGTTACCTGTTATCTGCAGCGGTTACATTCCAAGATCCTCAGTGGATGCTGAATCTTTGGATAGTACTATCTCCTATAGATGCTGTGTTTTTCCAATTGGTAACCGGCAGTTAGTGACTAAGGGCCGGTAGTGTGTACAGTGTGGATGATCTGGACAAAGAGATGATCATATCTCTGGAGGAACGGAACAAGGATGGCTTGAGATTTCATCATGCTACTTAGAATGGCACACAATTTAAAACTTATGAATTATTTCTGGAATTTTCCATTTAATACTTCAGACCATGGCTGACCACAGATAACTGAAAATGCAGAAAGCAAAAACGTGGATAAGGAGGAAGTTTGTATTTTGTGGGAAAAGAATTCTAGTTCAAAGTTAATTCACAGCTTTTAAAATTTCAGTTCTTTAAAGATATTGTGTTACTGTCTTCTTGGTTGTACTGTTTTGATGAGAAATCTTACATCATCCTCATCTTTGTTTTTCAGGATGTGCTTTTTCTTTGGATGATTTTAATATGCTCTATTCGTCACTGGTTTTGAACATTTCAATTATCATAAACCTTGGTATATCTTCATGTTTCATGTACTTGTGGCTTGTTGAGCCTCTTGGATTCGTGGGTTTATAGTTTTTATTAAATTTGGAAAATTGTTGACCATATTTCCTTAAACTTTTTTTTTTTTTGGTCCTTCAATCCCTTCCCAGAACTCTAATTACCTGTAATTAGGCTGCTTGAAGTTGTTTTCCAGCTCACTGCTTCTCTGGTCAGCTTTTGAAATTCTCTTTTCTTTTTATGCTTTTATGGCTATGTCTTTAAATTCTCTAATTTTATCCTGCAGTGTCTACTCTGTTAAATCCCATCTAGTATTTTTAAAAATCTCTTATGCTATAATTTTCATCTCTAAAAGTTTAACTTAGGTCTTTTTAATTTATATCTTCCATGTCTCAACTTCACCTTTTGCACATATGAAGCATAGTTATAACAATTGCTGTGACATCATTGTTTACTGATTCTAACATCTGCATCCATTCTTTGTCAGTTTCCATTAGGTGATTTATCTCCTGACTATGGGTCATACTTTCCTGCATCTCTGTGTGCCTGGTAATCTTTGATGGATGTTAGGCAGTGTTAATTTTATGTTACTGGGTGTTGAATATTTGTAATTTTATAAATATTCTTGAACTTTGTTCTGGGATGCAACTAAGTTACTTGGAAGTTTGATCCTTCTGAGTTTTGCTTTTAAGATTTGTTGGGGCCGGGTGTGGTGGCTCATGCCTGTAATCCCAGTATCTTGGGAGGCCAAGGCAGAAGTATCACTTGAGGCTAGGAGTTCAAGACAAGCTCAGGCAACATAGTGAGACCCCTGTCTTTACAAAAAAAAATTTAGAAAGGAAATTAGCTGGGTGTGGTGGTATGTACCTATAGTCTCAGCTACTTGGAAGGCTGAGGCAGGAAGATTGCTTAAGCCTAGGAGTTCAAGTGTATTGTGAGCTATGATTGTACTCCAGTCTGAGTAACAGAGCAAGACTGTCTCTATTAAAAATGTTGGGAAAGACCAAAGTAATGTGGGGTAATTATTCCCTACTATTGAGGCAAAACCCTTCTGTGTGTTCTACCCAGTGTCCTGCGGATCTTTAGGTTTTCCAGGAAGAAGGCACTGTTCTGGCCCTTTGTGAGTGCTGGACACTTTGCCCTCTTTTCCTTTTGGTTGATTCTTTCTCCGACCATGAGCGGTTTCCTCCCATACAGGCACAAAGGGGCACCCTCTGCAATCCCCCGGGGTTCCCTCTCCTTTCAGCTCTTTATTTTCTGATACTCTGTGCTGCAAACTTTTGCTGTCTTGATCTTTCTGGACTGTCGGTTCTGTCTTCTCAATTCAGAGTCCACTGGGCTCTTCCTGTGCTCTCTCTGAACGCAGTGAGCTAGGGCAGTCGTGGGGCTTATCTTGTTTGTCTCTCAAGGATCACTATCCTTTGTTACCTGGTGTCTTGTGTCTTGCATAGTATTAGGTCATGTATTTTTTTCTTATTTTTTGGTTGTTGCAGGTGGGAGGGTAAATCTGGTCCCTATTCTGGAAGTGGGCATCCCTGTCTTTATTTTTTGACTCCACATACCCTCAAGCCTACTAACCTGTAGTCTTTGGTGTATGAGCTTTCCTGCCACCTTAACCTTGCTCATGGTATTCTCGATGCCTGCAGTGCCCCTCCACTCCATGTCCATAGGTTCTATCTTTCTTTAGAGACAGGAAATATGCTGATTTTTCCATGGAGCTTTTCTAGGTCCCTTGGTTGACATTGATTTGTTCTTATATCTAATCTCTCACAGCATTCTGTGCCTCTATTTTATATATCTCTCTTTGCCCTCCATATTGATTCATCCATTTGTATATGCATTTATTCAAAAACAGTAGTAGATTTCTGAGCACCTACCACTATGTGTTCAAAAGTGCTGGGAATGAATGAAGCAAAAATGGAGGACTGCTTCCTGCAGTGACGGAGACTACAGCCTAGTGGGGTCAACAGGTGAATGATTAGCTATAGCAAAATGATGTCATGGTGTGTGCAGGACATAGGGAGAAGTAATCAATTCCACCCAGCACAGGGTGAAGGCATGTTCACAAAGGTGTCACATCAGGAATTATGTTTATGTTGAGTCTGGAAAGATCACTAGTTACCCAACAACATAACATATTCCAGAACTCAACTTCTTCAGCATGGCAGTGTATAGATTCCATTCCTCTCCTTTCCCCTCTCTTCTCCAATCTCTTTCCTTCCCTCTTTCATTTCAGTGGTTCTCATCAGAGGGCAATTTGTTCTCTTTCCCCCACTTCAGGGATATTTGGAAATATTTAGAGATGACATTTTTGGTTGTCACCACTTGGAGAATGCTATTAGAATCTAGTGGGTAGATTCTAGGAATGCTGCTAAATGTCCTATGATACATGGGACAGCCACATACATCCAGGAATGCTGCTAAACATCCTATGATTCATGGGACAGCCATGCACACACAGACAAAGAGTTCCCCAGTACCAAATGTCACTAGTGTCAAAGCTAAGAAACCTGACTTTCATTCCATTGACACTTATTAAGCACTGATTATGTCCTAAGTATTATTCTATATGCCAGGGAGATGAAGCTGGGAATAATTTCTGAAGCTTATATTTTAGAGGATGAGAAGAGAGACAGACAAATGATCAGAAAATATACAGCATAGAAATGGTAATGAGGGTCATTAAGAAAAGTGAGGCAGAGAAAGAAGGCAAAGAGTATGGGAGAGGGTTGCCATTTTTTAAATTGGATGGCCAGGGAAGATGCCACTGAAAAGATGACATGAAATCAGTAAAGGAGCAAGCCACTGTTCCCACTACAGCAGACGGAATAGTGTGTGTAGAGGCACTGAGGCAGAAGTATGATGGGGTGCTCTGGAAATAGCAAGGCGGTCCGTATGCTTGGAACAGAGAGATCACAGTGCTGAATCCAGCTCTAGAAAATATTTCCCTCCTGTCTATCCTGTCCCATTCTTTCTATTTTAGACAGGCGTATTGGCTCAACTCTAGAATGCCCCACACATTCCACCATATAGTTTAAATATGCATGAGAGGAGAGAGGGACAGAATCTTTGTGGTTTCATGTTTCTAACATGCAAGAGTTAGAACCCCTTTTGTGATGAGACAGTGTGGGTATTGCACTCACAGCATCAGTCTATGAACCAACAAGAGGTTCTCCTGATGTCCTTGATGTACGACTGAGGAAGTGGGGAAAGAAGGGAATGAGATAGGTTCATCTTCCTCTTTCTCTCTTCCAATTAAGTCAAGAGCTTGGTGTTAGCAGTTTGATAAAAGCTAGTGTAGCATGTGCAAGGTTGAGCACTGTGCTGGGCTCATGGTAAGTCTAACAGCTGATTGCTTCGGTTGACTGAGTATTGTTTAAGGGCTTTACTCTAGGGGGAAGTATGTGATTTTTATGTGATTTCTAGCTGCGTTACACACATTCTCTCTAATCTTCACAGCAGCCCTGTGGGGGTATATACTGTTGTTCTCTTCATTTTACAGGTGAAGAGTTTATGTCATTTGATCATGGACTCACACCTACTAATTGGGGGAAAGCTGGATGTGAACGCTGGTCTGTCAAAATGCAAAGGCCATGTTATTCACCACTGCATTATTTTTTAAATCATGAACTTTAATGTTTACTTTGTAAAATCAAAGCATGCTGAAACTTCACAAAATACTTTGGCAAGAACCAACCTAAATTCAAAGTAATAATCTTGTTTTCCTAAGTTAAGCTTTAGATGTATTGAAATGACAAACAAACAAAAAATCAATGGCATTGGGAATTATGTTACTCTCCATAGAATCTTTGTAACCCAACGTGGGTGAAGATGAGGTATAGAGCATGGTCTTTGAACCCCAAGTTGTGGAAAAAGCAAAGAGCCGACGAGCCTCTGGTTGACCCTGAGGTCCCACATAAAGCTCAAGAGGAGAATTTTAAAAAGAAGCTGGAGGAACAGGTATGTATTTACACTAAGATGTGATCATCTGAGCTTAAGATGATCACAGTGTGTCCGCCACCCTCATACTGAACCAGACTCTGTGGCATAATGCAAAGTCTCCTGAAAGCCCTACAACTCACATATTGAATTCAGCAAGAAGTAAGCCAAGTCATATTATGCGTAATGTATAATAAGCAAGACTTGGAATCTCCTGGCTTCATGGTAGACCTGACATCTTTAAAGATTGGACAGCTACTCATGGTATTCCACCATTCCTGGAACAATTTATCCCAAAGATAATTGTTCAAAGGGTGGTGTGACTTGGTAGGACCACCTCAGTGCCCAGAATAGATATGATATCATGAGTTCTCTTTGGGTAACAAAATGTGAAGCTTGTTTCCTATCAGCTGTGGGTGAATGTCAAAAAATTCAAAATTTCAACCAGGAAATTTCTTTTAGGCAATTCATCCAAATTGCAGGAGCTGTCTGAGAGGAAAGGGACAAAGGTTCAGCACCGTGTGATATTGCAAAGCAAGAAACACTCGTAACAAGGATGTGCTCTAATTTTACTACAGACAAACTCTGTGCCTGCCCGTTGCTTGTGTAAAATTATCTAATGGGAAGAAGATACTCATTAGAGCCCCGGACATTTGGAAACATTGATGCAGTACTTGCATAGTACTCTAATGAGGATATTTGCGAACCTCTTTTTCAACAGACCCCAAACTTCTCCCAGATAACATGTGAAAACACTTTGAAAAAGTCAAATACAATATGAATTACACTTACTATTCATCAGTAATCACTCCTCAATTGTCTTCTTCAGATTGGAAAGCTAAGACAGGAAGGATGGTCACTTTAATCTTTTCCAGTACTGGATATAAATTCTTACTTTCAGGTGTGAGGTATGACACAAATTTATGAGCATCACATGTTTATGTAAGTCCCAAATTTCTTAGTATGGTTTTTGGAGAGCCTAAGTTTATGCGAATTTAATATATAACATAAAGCTATTCCAGTTGCACTTTATTATAAAAAATAACGCTATTTTCTCAAATTTAATATTTAAAATGAAAAATAGCTATGAACGGTGTCTAGAGCTCTCTTTTTAAAAACATATCCTTGGCCAGGCAAGGTGGTTCACACGTGTAATTTAGCACTTTGGGAGGCCGAGGCAGGCAGATTTGCAAGATCAAGACTGTCCTGGCCAACATGGTGAAACCCCATCTCTACTAAAAATACAAAAATTAGGCATCGACCTGTAGTTCCAGCTACTCGGGAGGCTGAGTCAGGAGAATCGTTTGAACCTGGGAGGCGGAGGTTGCAGTGAGCCAAGATTGTGCCACTACATTGGTGACAGAGCAAGACTCCATCTCCAAAAGCAAAACAAAACAAAACAAAACAAAACACCATATTCTTAATGACTAATTCTTAAAGATTTAAAAAGTTTTACAAAACATATTTCATTTTGATGACAAATGCTAGTAAAGATGTTTGTCAAAATGGTTACAGTGAGCTAATAAAGTAGCATTATTTAAATTTTGGAAATATAATTGATATAACTCATAGTAAAAAATTGTTTATCAGGAAGCTTAGACACAGGAAAGATTCATAACAATGGAATTGTTCTACAATAATATTTATAAATTATACCTCTCTAATACCCGAGGAATGGTGTACCTTATCTACTATAGGTGGTACCACTAGGCTGTGGCACCCCAGTTTACAAGACACAGGGACTTTGGGGTATTGGTAAGAGACAGTAATTATGACAACATGGCTGTCTTTCTGGAAACTCATGAGTTTTGACTGTTCTTGACAGATTTTGTTCGGAAGGTAAAAATGGTCTTAAAGTACTGAATTGCAATTATGTAAACTTATGCATCCAATTTTTAATTAAAATAAATGTAAAGGAAAACTAAAAATATGCATAAATATTGCAGATGTTGCAACTGATCAAATCCTTTTTTATTGTCATGTCTTTTGGAGTTAAGATCTATGAATTGTGGACATGCTGTTAATGTTAAATAGGTTAGATTCCAAACATCATAGGTCAATAATTGTCTAATTGCTAAAATGTGCTGCCCATCCGTAATACATGGATAAGGAAAAGGGTAGGAGAAGGAGAGATGTTCTTTTAAAGGAGATGTCCTTTTAAAGTTGGACATCTTTAAAAGCCTTCCTATTCATCAACTCATGAACATTACACACATATTCAAAAACAATAAGAACATGGTTTAAAATGAGATACTTTATAAAGAGCTACATACTTTCGATGAGAACAAATATGAAATCAACTTCTAATGGCTGACCTTTCTTTAAATGTGGGTACTCTTAGGAGGAGTCACTTGCAGACCTTCATGGAACAGTTGCCTTTAAGGATTTCATTCTAAGCAGGGGCTACCAGATGCCACGTGTGAGTAAAGGGTCGTTTCAGAAGGCTGTGCTGAGGGGCTCTGTGGCTCACAGTTGTTGATGGGAAGAGGTTATGACCGTGACAAAACCCAAATACTTCTCTGATAGGCACATACCAAGACAGGCCCCTGGAAGAAAGGGCATGCTTTTCCCCAGATGGGAACTCAGAGATAGGATATGGCATTTTATCCTTATTATTCTGCTTATTTGGTTTCCGCTACTGTCAGAGATGCTATTTCCTTGCTGATCTTTGACTCATTTTTCTTGAGTTTGCCCTCAGTAGGAGGTCTATGTACAGGGCATGGGCCTTGCAAATTCCAACTGTTACTGAACACCCTGAATTCTCTAGGAAGTTTCAAGTCTCCTTTACATCCTCAACTAAGGACAAAGAGCTGTGGCTTGGGTTAGGACAAAATAGACTTGGGATTTGCAATTTTATCATTGCACTATTAGCTCTGCTTCAGGTAGAAACAGGCTAAGGCAAATGTTCACTTCCTGGGATGCCTAGCCAGTGTCTTCTGTCTTTTTTCCGTTCTTCTTTTCTGCCTCCTGGTTTCCCCTCACTAACTTGTAAAGATGGCCCCGGCACCTCCACATGATGCAGATCCCTTTGGATGGTCACTTGCAACAGGGGTGGGTTGCGAAGTTGGCAGAAGGGAACATGGAGCAGGAGGGTCTGTGGCCTGGAGCAGTGTGCGCAGATCAACCCTGTCACTGCAGCAGGAGACAAAATAGGCATCTGGGGCTGAAGTAATAACTGATAATGTCATGCATTTGTCCACTATCCTCTGTGTGCATGTACCTTGGAGTCTTCAGGGGACAGTACAACTGAGATGGTCAGGAGTTCCTGGAAATGGGAGATTTGATTTCTGTTTTTCCAAGAGTGATAGAACTAACAATAGCTAATACTTCTGGCAAATAAATGTAGGACCAAGTACAGAATCAGCTGGTTTCAGAGTTAAATCAGACAAGTCTAAACATGAAATAGAGATTTGAGATTAGGAAACTCCATTATATAACTGGTTTGGAAGAACTCCTTTAGCTTTGAATATCAATAATAGGCCTGCTAGATATATTTAATATACTTATACAAATAACGGCATAATCTGTATATCAGGTTTACATAAGTATATTTATATATATAATATAAAATATGCATATATAGCTTTAATATTACATGGTTGTATGTTTACATGTCCATATTAGATATGTGAAGATGTGTACCTCTGTGGTATATGTGTGTGTGTATATAAATCCTTATTTGCTCTTGATATTATTGTGACTCATTTTTGTATCTGAACATTTTTAGTGGCAAACACACTTTTTTTTCCATTTTGATGTGTCCCTTATTGATTTAATCCATGCTATTGATGAACATTTAGTTCAGTTTTGGGCAAAAGGAAGCATGCCTGACATGCTGGCTATCCTCTTTTCAGTCACACTGACTAGAGAGACAATGCCTCTGATCACAACAGAGTCCTCTGACAACACCTGTCACTCAAGACCCTACAATATTTTGTTCCTTTATTCTTACATCCTGCTTCTTATTTTATCAATAAGATTTCAACTGAATGAGAGAAGGAACTCTATCTCGGGGAATAAGATATATATGCATTACACACAGAGTGTATCTATATATATATTTGTGTGTGTATATACACAGTCATTACTTAAATATATATGTGAACATTCATTCTTTTCTTGACCCCCTGTGTATATATACATTCACATATATTATGTGAACATATGCACTTACCTACATTCCAGGATCTGCTGCTGGAATATCTCTATGATGCATCACCCACAACCTCTTTCCCTCTGCTGCACAGATGGTCCCCAAGCCTTAGCAGCAGGGATGGGCAGCACAAGGCTATGTTGAGCTGGACTGGGCCAGGCTTGGGCGCAGAACAAGTGTGTGTTCCATCCGAGTGTTTCTGATATTGTGTGACTACCTTCCAAAGACCAACATCTATCATGGTCAGATTATGAACATGTGATTTTGCGTGGTGAAAGCATATATATCAGAGTGTGAAATTTTGAGTTGGGTATGGTAGTGGCTATGGGGGAGGACTGTACTGTACCACTTTTGTTTGTCAATCTAATGAAGGTTCTCTCTTTTTTTTTAGTTCCTTGAGAATATGTATATCGGAAAGGAATGTAAACATGCATGTATTAAGTCTCCTATAAAGCGAACTCAAGCATAAAAGAATCATAGGAGAATGATTAAGCAGATTTTATTACTACGTACTTGGCTATTTCTCTGTCTTCTTTTAAAGATTAAACAAAATTTGTGTCCCAATATGGATGTTCAACTTTGACTTGGCAACATCTATTAATGGAATAACTGATACTTATAAACATTTCTCAATGGATTTCTGCTTCAGTTAATCAGCATTTTCTATACTTTATCATCCATGAGATCAATAGTCACGTCATCTCACATTTTTGTAGTGCTGTCAATATTATATAGTCATATCAACTATTTGTAAAAATAAATAAAACCATAAATAAAAACAGAATTACTCTGTTACCTTTTCCCTCTGGTTTTGAGTACCTCCTTTCCTCTTCCTTTACAATATGATTTTCTTTCATTTTGAATTAAA